TTATTATACTTTATGAATTTCTGATACATGTCTTTTATAGACCTAGGCGTAGAAATTCACATACATTTTTTTTGTTATTTTTTGAAAAAGTAAAATAAATAATAAATTGGCTTACATTTTAAATATGTCCCCACACAATTTATTAAAGGGTTACACCAAATTTCTTACATTGATTTAGGTACAAAATAAACCCCTTTCCCATGGCCAGTTCCATAAATTGAGAAATAAGCATTATTTTGAATAAGAAACGTTTAAAAAAGTTGTTATTTATTCCTTTCTTCTAAAAATAGGGTTAAAATGGTCAACCCTTTTCTCAATATGTTTAATAATTTAGGACCAAACTTTCAGGTCAATAATTTAACCCCTTAAAAAAGGTATTAATGTAAGAAAGGTATTTTTATTTATGTAACTACATTTTCAAGGTTAAAAATTTACCTTTAGTACTAATTTAGTAAAATTAGAAGTGAGCACAGACTGTGGTAGACAGGCAGATGTACTATATGTACAGTATACTTACTATCTATAAATAAAAAATACTTTTTCTACTCCCACCTTTAAAACGCTCTTTATCGTACATGTTTCCATGACACTAACTGACCTTTTACATACACATTGACAAGTTGTGGCTTTATGGCGCTTTAGTCACGGGCTGAAGTTAGCAACAGGTTTTTAGTCACGGGGTGAAGTTAGTTTTAAGTTAGTTGACAGTTGTCAAATGTCATACAATCGTTAAAATAAAGTGCCTTTCTTGTAAAATAATACTAAATGTGAAAATTATTTTATTATCTCAATACAAAAATACGAAAGTATTAAATAGTTTCTCAACGCCAATATTTGAAAAGTTTATATGAACATTGTACTGACCTTATAATTTCGCCGGTAGTAAACTATAACTTAAATTCGGGCACGGACTCAACTGTAAAGTGCTCATAAAACATTTTCTTTACTTTCACTGTGAAAAACTGTCAATTTTCAAGAAATACATTTCGATTTATAACCTTTATAATATGTGGTTATACAAATTTGACATTTGACGGTGACACACAGATTACCCTATTGTTCCATAGATGGCGCTCCATACAAATTTTCGATTTAAATCATTTTAAGATAATAATAAGTATTTGTCGTATACGTATATATTATGTATCATGTATCATGTTTGATAAACGCCATTTTATACATGAATTTAATTTAGGCACGAGCGAGCTTGCGAGCGAGTGCTTAAATTAATTAGTATATAGAAAAGTTTATAAATGAGGTGCATACTATACTTTTCCTATAGGAAAAGTACAGATTACCAGATTATTATTTGAAACGTTTGAAAAACAAAAATTAACATTAAATCGACAATAGTCGGCTCTGAAAACAATTTATAACAAATGTTCAAAATGTCATCCTTTCATTTCGACACCTTTTTGAATGCGGGTAATGAATTCTAGCTCAACCATGTCCTCCCGAGTTGTAGGAATTGCAGCGTAAACTTTTTCTTTTAAGTAACCCCACAGGAAGAAGTCTGGGAGATCGTTTTCTAGAAAATTCCGGTAATTTTCACCATTTAATGCCGTTCGCCAAAGGTACCGCACCAAACGTTTACCGACCAAACCGACCAGGGACGCTGGTGCTCCACTTGGTGTCGAAATGGAAGGACGACATTTCGAACATTTGTTATAAATTGTTTTCAGAGCCGACTATTGTTGATTTAATGTTAATTTTTGTTTTTCAAACGTTTCAAATAATACATTTTACAGGGAAACCCATTTTTCTTAAATATTTAATTACAGCGCCATCTGTTTATAAATTGAAAAAAGTTTTAAATAAAAGTTATTCATTTTTTTATGTACTACCAAAATCTGTAAAAAAAGGGTTATCCCATTTGACTCTCCAAAGTTACCCCACGTTTCACCCTTAAGGAGGAGTAGAGGGTGGCTAGCGGTAGCACCAAATAATGTCCCCTTTGGTCACATTAACATTTTATTTAAAACATTTTTCCGTGAAATGCGTATTTCTCGAGATATTCAGCTGTCTTAAGTTAAAAGAAACAGCCTGTATCGGCGCAGTAGTTTTCAATGGATCAAATCATTTGATCCATCCATCTGAAAACTACTGCGCATATATGATGTAACTACTCCACATAGATTCAACCATCTTGTACCTACTGCGCATGTCCGTCATTTTGAATCCGCAATTTTGTTTTTTTTTAATGGATATCAAATTCTGAATCAGGGAACCCATAAATATCTGAATAATAAATTTTATCCAAACCGACAAATTTTCGTTATATTGGATCAGCCATTTTATTTAAAAAAAAATGGATATCAAATTTGTAATCAGGCCCTCAAAAACCACATGTTGTTGATAAGTTTATTGAATAAGCAATGCTTATTAAGCATACGGGTTTTTTTAATAGTATAAGGAGTGCCATAGATGTGCTTATACAGGGTAAATTTTAAAAATTATTAATATTTTATAAGTAATTTTTTCTTGGTTAACGTTAAGTTGTGTTATAAAATAATACAACGTTAACCAGGAACAAATTTTGTTTATTATGAAATGCGAATAATGTTCTCATTGGTCCAAATAAATATCGTCATTTATGTGCAAAATTATAATTTTTATGTAAAAAAAAATTGCTTTTTATAATCGAGAGAACGAGAGAGATCGAGAGAAACGAGAAATTCTCGAGCGAGAGAGGGCATTCTCTCGTCTCGTCTCGAGCCTTTTTTCTAGAGAAAATCACCCTCTCGTCTCGTCGAGACGAGACGAGACGAGAGGCGAGAATCTCTTGTATCGGCGGCATCACTAATAAATATACTATTCCAGACTGGGCCTGTCACTTTTTCAAATAGTTTCCGCGGAATATCTGTGTTTTCTAAATTTGAATGCAATGGAAGTAACGAGTATACCAGGGTATTAATTAAATACATAATTTATTGGAAAATAATAAGATTTATTGCAACTTTCAGCATATCATACATTAACTATCTTAAAATTAAATAATACCTACCACACATCAGTAGGGGCTGGTGGATTTTGGATATATCTCAATTATTAGATATGGGACCCACACCAAATTTATATAAGTTTATAATAACATTAAATAAACAAGTTCTGCGCAAGCAGAATTTAAATTGAAGTTTGCGAAAAAAAGATAACCGAAACATCGAACATGGAACTGACGACACGGTAATTTAAGATTATAATTCGGATATAAGTATTTTACTGCAGTAAAAATATCATGATATTTTTTATTAGTGGATGCTTTTTCAACAAATCAGATATAGCCTTATATAAATTACAATGAAATACATATACGTAAGAAAATAACTACTTACCACAGTACTGAAATTTTGACTGGAGCTATACGTGCATTCACCACAACTTCGCCGCTTGCATAGTTTTCAAGATGACTGTCGTGAAAGGGCGGGCTCTGTAGGTAATTTTTTTACCAACAGTTTTGGTCCAACACTTGAGTTAAAACGAGGACTTGACCTTTAAACTTCAATATTTCGCAGGAATTTTGAATTTTAACATTGGACATAACACTGATATATATGATGGGTAAAAGTGAGTACAAAGATTATCATTTTTTTTTTAAATTGCTATTATTCGAATCTATGATAAAATATAAAAAATACATTATTTAATGTTTTATAGTTTGTAGTGAAATTGAAAAATTTAAGATAAATTGAATATATTTTAAAATAAAATCACTCAAATATTTGATTCAGGAGTTGTGACACGCCAAGGTACTTATGTTTTGAATATTTATTATGTTTTTCTACAAACGTGCTTTTCAAAAAATACGTTAAAATTGGGTGGACAAGCTAAAAAAACTGGATCTTTTGTTTTTACAAAAAATATTAATATATCTACTCTATTGACTGATGACATCAAGTTGTCCAACTTTTGTAGAATCACCCTTATATTAGTTTGGGAGCTAAACGGCACTAAAGTTAAAACTTAAAAAAAATTACTATATAGATGTTGATATAATTTTTCATTCGAATTAGTCTTTACTAACACATCCGAAAATATTTAATGTATTAAATAAAAAATATAGGTATACAAAAAAACTTGGTTTCAGGCACTTAAAAATATAAAATAATTTAATTTAATAATAAAAAAATGTTAAGCGTGGGGCGCATATTTAAGTAAATTAATTTATATCTCTTGCGTTAAAGCGTTTTTTTAGTTTCTTTAAACTGTGTATTAATTTATTTTTTACTTTGTATACTATAGTCTTAAAATTTAGTTAGTCTGTTAGTTATATCCGCCATATTAAAATTAGATTGACGTCACGCTCAAGAAACTCTTTTTATTTGAAACATAATATGTTATATTATTTAGCCATGTCAAAAAGTTTGTCAAAAAATTGGTAATCCCGCATCTTGGGGTGGCCGCCATATTGGATTTAGTATGACGTCACTCACCTTATCGTGTATTTTTATTCAGTTCTGAGCTAAGTTTCGAGTCTCCAGCTCATCCTGAAGTTAGTTTAAAATCGATTGCAAAATTTTTACCAAACAGACAAGAAAAACGTGTTAAAACAACTTAATTGCTATTTGTAATACAGTTTTTATTCCCACAAGATTTTTTAAAGGGTTGTACTAAATTTCTTATTTTCATTTAGGTATAAAGTAAACCTTTTCCCATGGCCATTTCCATAAAACAGGAAATTAGAATTATTTTGAATAATAAAAATATTTCCCTTCTTCAAAAAAATTACAAATACAATAGTCAACCCTTTCCGCAATATGTTTAATTATATAGGGCCAAACTTCCAGGTTAAGAATTTAACCCCTCTAAAAAGGTGTTAATGTAGGTAAGAAAATATATTTTTTAAGGATTTTTTTACCTAGTTTTAAGTTTTTATTCATGCATGTAAGTACATTTCTTAAGGGTAAAAATTGACCTTTGGTAGACAGGTAGGTAAATATATTTTTATTATAAGAAGTAGATAAAAATACTTGAAAATGATAAGATATAAAATAATATTAATTTTTACAAATATAAATAATATTGTATGTAAGTTATAATAGTATAAAATATTAATAACAAAAATATCAGAAAGTCATGACATTAAAACAGTTTTTAATTATATTTGTATCAATTAATGCTTGTTTTTCAAGAAGAATAGATTTTCTAAACCATTTAGAGGAAAATATAATTGTATCAATTACTGGAAGAGATGATTTTTTGTTAGAAAACAATGGATTTTTTGTAAGTAAAAATATATATTTAATGAATTATTTTTCATACATCTATTATTTTTTGTAGAAATCCATTGAAGTGCCAAAAGGCAATAGAACAATTTATGCTAAGTATGCATATTGTAAAATTAACGATTGTGATGAATATGTCACTAAAGCCCAGTTTAAAATAGGATATATAGCCAAAAATTTGGATTTAAAGTATATCGATCTGAGAAGTGGATATAATTTTTATATGGAGGTAAGTCACCGATCTAGAACTCAGAAATGCTCAATCACGTCAGTTTCTGTGATAGATTCTAGGGGTCATTCTAAATACTTGTATACAAGTATTCTATAGAATGTAGGAGTGGGTGGTAATATAGAACCCCCTTTTAATTAAAAACTTTTTAGGTTAAATCTTCTTCAGAAGACTGCGAAACTTCAAAAACTTGCAGGGAAATGTTGACCGTGTGTCCTAAATCCACAATGGTTTTAGCAGACAAAAATTTAGTGGCATGCAAAAATACGAAAGAAAGTTATATAAAATTTTTGGAGTGCGATACAGCTGTCACATCTGACATGAACGTAGTTGGGAACACCCAAACATGTGTTAATGTGCAATATTATACAATTACCTTTGGTAAAAAACAAATTTAAAATTTGACAATAATAAATAAATTAATTAATTACCTACACTGAGAGAAATCATACTATTGTAATAAACAAATCATATATTTGGTTGTTTTCAGTTATAATTAAAAAATATTGTTTCTGAATAACAAATATTTGTTTATTGTTTCAATACGGCAAAATTAATATATTTAAAACATATATCTATTAATTAAAAATAAATCATATTTTTTAATAAATAAATATATTTTGTCAAACTTCCATAAAACAAATGATACAATTTTAATTAATAAATAATGTATTTGTTACAAATCTATAGATTTGTAAGGGTGACGTTCATAATATCGAAATTCACTTTATCGAATTCAAAATATCGAACACTTTTTATCGAAAATCAAAATATCGAAAATACAAAATGTCGAAAATCAAAATATCGAAAATTAAAATGTCGAAAATGATAATATCGAAATTTTATTTAATCGAATTTTCAATTTATCGAAAATAAAATATCGACGTTCATAATATCGAAATTCACTTTATCGAATTCAAAATATCGAACACTTTTTATCGAAAATCAAAATATCGAAAATACAAAATGTCGAAAATTAAAATGTCGAAAATACAATACAATACAATTTTTTATTTAGTACCTGGGGTTATTATTCTTACTTTTATTTTTACAATTAATGTGAAACTAAACCATATTTTCTTATTTTGAATTTGATATTTTGTTTAAATATTTCAATTAATCGACATATTATTTTAATCCGAAGTGTATATGTACAGAGGCGCCTCTGATATAGAAATGTACTCAAACTCAACAACACAACCCAACCGACCCCGCCCCATTGGCCCCCCCCCCGCCCCATTGAGCAAAAAACCCAATTAAAATGGGCTAATTTATGTAATTAAAAAGTGTTTTATTTTTATCGTAACATGAATTTGCCCATTTTAGTTGGGTTTTTTGCTCAATGGGGCGGGGGGGGGCCAATGGGGCGGGGTCGGTTGGGTTGTGTTGTTGAGTTTGAGTACATTTCTATAAAACGCGCATCTCTAGGAGCCAGGGAGCCAAGATAATTCGGTGCATAACCGTAACTTTATCTACAGAGGCGCCTCTGTACATACACACAACGAAAAACGTACGTAATATTAATAAAAAAAAACATTAAGGCAATGTTTTTTTACATTAATTTTGCTCCGATGCTCAAAATCATTACCACAATGCTTTTAAAGTATTACTCAATGTACAAGGACGTAATATTAATGCTTGGCGGACATTGATTTTAATCAGGAAGATCTCAAATAAAAGTACTGATATTAATGACCATTGACATGGATTAATGTCCTAGTACATTAATTCTATGCCCAGTAAACATCAACCAATTAATAAATTTTTATCAATTAACAATTAAAGAACATTATCCCAATCACCTAATATACATTAATTAATGATCTGTTAGAATTATCATAATGCAAAGAAGCATTAATAGTAGGCCTGAAATAAGGGATGGAAAAATTTCGATATATATATATATATATATATATATATATATACGGGGTATCTCAAAAGTCAAGGACAGCAGAAAAGGGATGGATAGAGGATGGAATTTTAAGTCAATTGAAAAACGGCAAAGACCATTCGACTTAGAATCCCATCCTCTATCCACCCCTTTTCTGCTGTCCTTAACTTTTGAGAAACCCTGTATATGTATATGTGTATATATATATATATATATATAAATTATTACACTTACCTTAAGTTTTAACATTAAATCAATTTTTTTGTTGATCATCATCAAAAAGAGCTAGAAATATGTAAAAAAAATTATTAATAATTATTACTATTAATATTACTTATGTGGTGATGTTCTCTTTAGCCAGTTCCCTTTACAGAAATTTCCAAACATTTTCTACAGGGTTTATGTCCGGGCCACCGCAAAACTGGAACTGGAACTTTACATATTTTTAGTCCTTTTTGTAAATATTATGAAACTAAAGATTAATATAAAAAAAATAATAAAAACCCTTGGTAATTTAAAATCCTTATATTTATTAGAAAAAAATTATGAAACATAAATAAACCTTAACTTTTTAACATTGTCTTACTTACATTCTAATTTATATTTCATATAATAATAAACCTAAACGCACAACAATCGGGATGGGCGGGCAAGCACGTCGCAACAGGATTAACAGGAATACTAAACTGTTGTTAAATTGTTTTCTTACTTGCACTTTTAGGTGGTGGGAAACAACAGGGCCTAATATTAATGTATTTAGACATTGGCTCAACGTATTTGGCGATAAAGTTATGATTTGTTGTATTATTTAATATGTTAGGGCATTATATTTTGCTAAGGGTACATAAGTTGATGTATATATAGGCATTAATGTAATAATTTTAGATTATTAAATTATACCATTTAGAGTATTACTCTATTAAGCCTTGACATTAATTTTATCACTGAGCAATGATTAACTAATGTACTCTAGGTTATTGATTTAATGTAAATAATCATCGTATTAATGTAAAATATCATTGTCTTAATGTATTTTGGCTAAAAAATAATAAAATTCTTGCACTAGGATAATGACCAGGCAGACATTGTGACAATCCAATAATACATTAACTCATATTTTTTAAGCATTATCATAATTACTTGATTGCATTAATACTATGAAAAGGACATTATCGTAATGATTTTGCACTTAATGATCGTAGGACATTAATATCAGGTACGATATTTTTCTGTGTATACACTTCGATTTTAATCATACATTTTAATTTTCGATATTTTTAAATCGATATTTTAATTTTCGAAATTTTAATTATTCGACATTTTCAAATCGACATTTTAATTTTCGATATTATCATTTTCGACATTTTAATTTTCGAAATTTTAATTATTCGACATTTTCAAATCGACATTTTAATTTTCGATATTATCATTTTCGACATTTTAATTTTCGATATTTTGATTTTCGACATTTTGTATTTTCGATATTTTGATTTTCGATAAAAAGTGTTCGATATTTTGAATTCGATATAATGAATTTCGATATTGTGAACGTCACCCATTTGTAACATATATGTTTATTGTTGAATATGTTTTCTTTATTAAATGTTAGGTACACGTTTTGTTTATAAAAATATTTATTTATTTATATAAAATTTATAAAGATCTCTTAAACTAAGAATATCACAACAGGATGTAATCATTGTAATGATGCATTAAAAATCACATTTTAGTTGCTACTTTAGAGTTTTGAACCTGATGGTGAATATTCCTTCATAAAGCTTTTCGTTTATTAAAATCATTGTTGACATTTTAAAGAAGAAAAAACTGTTATAAATTACCTTCACAATTGGACACAACATCACTTAAACCGAGATTTATAAGAAAGTCCTTTAAATCCATTTTTACAGGTACTTCACAACATAAAACTAAAACTGATGATGCTTACGTGAGGGCGCGAAATAAGTAAATAACGTTAGGGCATCGGGGCCATATTTAGCAAATTTTGCAAAATATATTTATTAATAAAAAATGATTTATTATTTTTTACTTAACACAGCTTTATTGTATACATATATATATACAGCTTTATTGTTGTATTTATTAATAAAAAATGATTTATTATTTTTTACTTAACACAGCTTTATTGTATACATATATATATATACAGCTTTATTGTATACATATATATATGTATACAATAAAGCTGTGTTAAGTAAAAAATAATAAATCATTTTTTATTAATAAATATATTTTGCAAAATTTGCTAAATATGGCCCCGATGCCCTAACGTTATTTACTTATTTCGCGCCCTCACGTAAGCATCATCAGTTTTAGTTTTATGTTGTGAAGTACCTGTAAAAATGGATTTAAAGGACTTTCTTATAAATCTCGGTTTAAGTGATGTTGTGTCCAATTGTGAAGGTAATTTATAACAGTTTTTTCTTCTTTAAAATGTCAACAATGATTTTAATAAACGAAAAGCTTTATGAAGGAATATTCACCATCAGGTTCAAAACTCTAAAGTAGCAACTAAAATGTGATTTTTAATGCATCATTACAATGATTACATCCTGTTGTGATATTCTTAGTTTAAGAGATCTTTGCTATCTATAGATAGTGAATACCGCCAATATATTTTTTTTATATCCAAATTTTTATTATTTTAGAATAGAAGAGGCGTCGGTTGTTTTTTTAACAGAAGATTCATATCAACCTGCTGTTTACAATGTAAATGGGGATGGCCATCCTCCAAACGTTAAATAGCAATATCGCCACTTTAAACGAACCAACTTTAAGTCATGACATTGAATAGTCATTTTGTACAAAATCAAATGACCGATCTTAAAGACAGGAAACACAAATAATATTGGCGTATTTAGATCCTTTAGAAGAACACCTATAAATATCGATACATTTTTTATTATTTAAAATTTGTTATTTATTAACAAGTTCATTGTTTTGTGTAAAAAACAAACTTTTACAATAAATAAATATTCAATTTTTATTGCTTTAAATTTGTTTCTTATTAACAAAGGTTTTATTTTTATGCAATATGGTATAAATTTGTTTTAAATAAGTAAATAGTTTGTTTTCTTTTAATATATGTATTTTAATTATTAATATTTTAAGATCGTAATAAAAAATAAATATATTATTTATTAAGAAACATACAAAAACAAACGCTTTATTACATTTAAATATATATATCCTATAGGATGTTTATTAACCAGGGGCGTAGCTACCGCGGTATCAGCCGTATCAATGATACGGGGCCCCCGGCTAGGGGGGGGGGCATGGAATTAAATAAATAAATAAATAATTTTATTATTTAATTGTTTATACTTCGATTTATTAAATTAAAATTTTCCTGAACCCTCCTGTTCCAACGAAAGCTTAATTGTTTTAGTTATTTATTTTTCTCTAATCAGCCGACTGTAGGAAAAACGTAATTACATAAAATTATACTTATAAAAAATTGAAAATCATCATTTATAAAAAGTTTGGTACGAAAATCCTGAAAAATTTCATAAAATGTCAATGTAAACGCTTTATATATCAATCTTAGAGATTCAACTGCAGTTATCATGATAAGACTTTTTTTAAAGAAAATTAAATTTTCTACAAGTTTGTCCTTTACATTTTTTCGATGAATCCAGTCACTTTTGAAATATCTTCAAAAATATGCGAATTTTTTACTAAAATCAGATTTAGTGACCCGTACCATCCTACAGGTCCAGATTACAGTTATGGCACATAAAGCAAGACTTTTGATTAGGAGTAGTCAACAAATATCAATCTTATAAGATTGATATTTGTTCACTATAGTGATTTAACTAATAAGACCTTTTTTAAAGAAAATTAAATTTTCAATAAGTTTGTTTTTTAAATTTTTTCGTTAAATCCAGTCACTTTTGCAATATCTTCAAAAATATGATAATTTTTCACTAAAATCAAATTTATTGACCTGTACCATCCTACAGGTGCAGATTACAGCTATGGCACATAAAGCATTTTTGTAGAACTTTTGATTACGAGTAAATCCCTTTTTGGAACAATCTAATAGCATAAAAGGTGCAGATTACAGCTATATAGCTGCCATGGCATATGCATATGCATATGGCACATAAAGCATTTTTGTAGACTTTTGATTACGAGTAGTCAACAAATATCAATCTTAGCAATTCAACTGATAAGACCTTTTTTAAAGAAACTTTCAAAAATATGATAATTTTTCACTACAGGTGCAGATTAAAGCTATGGCACATAGCATTTTTGTAGAACTTTTGATTACGAGTAAATCCCTTTTTGGAACAATCCAATAGCATAAAATGCGGCTGAGAGATAGATATTTAAAAAAAAATGAAAGTTTACGTGCATTTTAAATGGGAAATCTTTATACGCTTCGGGAGAGTACTTAGAGTTAATATTAAGGGCTCAAATTTTCAGGGAATTTTTTTTTAACATTTTTAACAAGATTTTGAGTGGGGAGCGAAAAAATAAAAATAGTCGTGAAAAAAAGCTCCCTAATGTATCCTTCATATATTATTTATTAAATTATAAAAAATTGGTAAATGCACAAAAATGATACCCTAAAAAATTTGTCAGCAGCTTTTCCCCTACCAGATTTTTGATACGCCACTGATTAACCCTATATGCAATAAAGCATTTATTAAATATAAATAAAACTGCTCTATAAAAAATAAACTGTTTTCTCAGTGTATATTTTAAAACTTTAAACCTCGTTTTCTCTAAATCCTATGGTCAAAAATTAGATCTCCATGAGGCTATATTGGACTCAGTCTCAGGGGATATATGTCTAAAATAATGGTAAACAATAAAGGAAATTTGATTTTCTATTAAATATCCCAAAATTTACTTCATTTGGCCAAATAGTATTTGTTTTATTGAAGTTTAATCAAACCTAAAACACCCTTTATAAGCGGACGAAATTTTGTAAAAAAAAAAAGCCCCATATTAATCGACAACGATATTACAATTAAACACGTTCCGCAGCGGAACAACAAAACAAGCCGAGTTGTCGAATAATAAATAGAGTAGAGGAGGCCTTCGGAAGACAATAGAACGGGCTTAACGAGAGAAGAACGGCGCCAGAACCGTCGCCGATTGGTCGCATCCCGTGAGTACGCCTTCGATTGGCCGGCGCCCGATCCCCGGCTCCTTCCGCTAGGGGGAGCATCCGTCTCGCCGTCGGTACCCGACTCAGTCGCACTTTAACATTTGCTGAAGAAACATCTCCTGTCTTTTAGTCTTTAAATGTATGTGTTTTTTTTTGTATTATTGTATGTAAACTATTGACATTTTGTTGTTGATGTTTGAACTGAAGGATTTCAGTGCAGTGTTTCAGTTTGGTTTTTTGATTTTGGGGTTTTAAATGTTGTGACAAAAACACGTTTTATAACAGTGCCGTCGGCTAAACATGGTGACTTTAATGCCTTGCAATTATTTGAACGCGCAAACTACGAGGTGTACAATGATCGACAAGATGTGTGAGCAAAAGGTAATTAAAATAATAATAATAATTATTCGATATAGGTAATGTCATATTAAACCATCAAATATTTTTTTAAATATTGCCCTTTTTTGTAATTTTACATATTTATTCATTTTTAATAGTGGATTTTGACAAAAATGCTATTTTCCTTATAAATTTTTGTTAGCTTTTTTTCAATTATTCACGCGTCTTGCCATCGATCGGGGTGTTTTGTTTATCAACTTTGGTCCAATTGGATACAATAATGTACATTTTACTCATTATGAAGAAAAAAGCACTCGATAAACCATCACATGCAATTTTTAGGGTTCCGCTAATATATATCATATATTTATTTTTATTTACCTAATAATTATGACAATTTTTTTTCTATTGCAATTCGGCAATAATATTATTTGTTTAAAGTAAACTTAATTATTTAGTCTATCACTAGTTTCAGTGTGAGAATGATTTGGACCAATAGGGTTGGGTTATACCAAAATCACAATAGTCGCCTATCGTATGAAATCTAACATTTGTCAAACGGATTTAACCTCACTTTCTCCTACTTCTTATTTTTTTATCTGATTTTCGTAATTAATTTTTATAAGCGGAGAAGAAGTAAAACAGGTTTGGAATTGCATATCTCAAGTGAAACAGTCAAACTTGCCTTCGGCTCGTGTAACAAACTTTTGACAGAATATACTATTTTGCTTTATGATTAATTATTGAGTGTTGTATACAAATACAAAATACAAATATATTTGGGGCATTCCACGTTACTCGTTAATTTTTGTCCCGCCCGTCACAATTAAAAATTGTGAGTAAAAACCGCAAGTTATTAAATTAATATTTTATAATATTATTTTTATTGTGCTTATAACTTAAGCAAAATAAACAATATTTTAAAATAAATTTTATAACGTGTAGTTTTTACTCACAATTTTTAATTGTGACGGGCGCGAATTTTTGTCCCGCCCGGGCGGGACAAAAATTCCCGAGTAACGTGGAATGACCCATTTGTAATTGTTAGACATTAGAAGTTTTATTCATATTTAATTTTTTTATAATTTAAAACTATTATAACCAGGAAACATATACATTGTATATTATACAATGTATAAAATAAATTTATTTACATATATCAAAATATCCGATATAGAAAATTATTATGATAATATGTATAATATAATATATATAATAAGCATTTCACTTAATATATTAATATTTAGAGATGTAAAAAAACGGTTTTTTTTCAGATTTGAAAAATAACATGAAAAAAAAATTAGAAAAAAACTTTTTTTTAAAATGCGCTACAATATTCTGTCAATAAATAACATCATTCTTAAAAAAATGCGTATTTTTCAATTTGAAATTTTGAGCAAAATGTACCTATATTAATAATAAAATAAAATACTGCAAAAGCGGCCTAACTGAAAAAAAAATCATTTTGTATTTTTATCTTTAAATATTCCTATTATCGAGTTAACTATAGACTAATAAAGTCTGTTTTAATAAGAAGATTAGAAACTACTATATTAAAATACTTTATTGGCTAGTTTACTCGATAAGCGCATAATAGGAATATTTTAAGTTAAAAAAAAAACAAAAATTATTTTTTTAGTATAGGTATGCCTCAAATTTAAAATATATTACATTTTCCATTTTAAATGAGACTAAAAAATTTGATTTCTTATTATTTGGTAGTTCACACATACGAAACCAATAACAATGTAGTCTACTATAGGTATACCTATAGCTATAGTTACTTTTTTAAAGACAAAATCAAAACAAAACCTTATGGTCAATTCGGTGGCGAGGGCGCGTGCATAGCACATGACTATGACCTATAGGTATTTATATTTAGTAAATGTAATTTAGTGGATACATTTTAGTCTATGAACTGGACTGGAAACATAAAAAATTAGGCAAATGAAACTAATCTTAAAAAAATATGAAAAAAAAACAGTGAAAAAAAACGAATCGTTTTTTCTCAAGTCACATCTCTAGGTATTAATAGGAATCATTATATGATATATAGTTGTATCAACTAATATAATATTTATATAAATAGGTATCATGATGAAAATGCTGTATTTCAAACTTGTTACCTACTACTTTGATTTATGATTAATCATAATTATTAATCAATAATTATTGAGTGTTGTATTTGTAATTGGTAGACATTAGAAGTTTTATATATACTTTTTATTATTTAAAACTATTATAACGAGAAAACATATACAATGTATAAAATAAAATATCTAAATATCCGATATAGATCATTATTATGATAATATGTAGGAACCTACATGTTATATCGATATAATAAGCATATCACTTAATATATTAATAATATTATTATATTATTATATATTATATATATATATATATATATAGGTTAGGGTGGCCCAAAAAAAAAGAATATTTTTTTCTTCTCGTCTCTTGTGCAAAATATGTTGGTTTGTCATGTTTTAAGAGCCCTGTCAAAAGATCAGCACCATTAAAATTTTTTTAGGGGTAATATAGGTTAGGGTGTGCCAAAAAACCTCGATATTTTTTTTTTCTTGCTCTCAACCCAAAATATCGTAGAATATGTCCGAACAAATATTCTGTTAAAAGCGGAGCTCATAATTTCAATTTTAAGAGGTCCTCCATCGAATCTGAAGTTTTGCCGCTTAAATAACACAGAAAACTGACTTTTTTACCTTATTTATTCTTGCAACCTAGGAAGAAATTTTTTTTCCATAAAAACCATGACCAAATCTTACAAAGCATTAAATTTGGAAGAAAAAATCTTATTAAGCCGAATTTCTATTTTCATTATTTGATTTTTTACAGAGCTTTAAATTTAAAATTTTACGTTTTTTGCCTTTTTCAGCTAAACTATTTAACTATGATTTCGCGAAAGAATCGAACGATCGATTTACAACACATCTCAGATTTTTTTTAAATTTTAATATTTTGTTTATACATCCAATTTAACATTAAATCTAAAATTTTTCTTTAATCTGACTTAAACTTTAGTTCCTAGAAACCATTTAATTTTGCCTTTCACAAAAAGGCCAAATTCCATTATTTTGGCATACATTTTTTATTAAAATACTGAATGATTTGAAATTTGGCCCATGTATGACCCATATTAGTACCTACAATTCTGTCAAAAAAAGTTTTAATTTTTTACATACAGGTGGCGCTGCAATTTTTTTTTTCTTCGAAAGTAGACGTTTTTTGAAGACAAAAAATTCTCTTAAGCAACAATGCTCAAAAAAACTAAATAGCGTACCAGATAATATAGATATTCCTTTATAATTCGACATATAAAAATTTACTTGCAAATGATGTTGCCGCCAGTAAAGCCAACTTAAAGTTTGGTCTACCGCATTAAAAAAAATTGAATTACACTTTCAACTCTATCCTTATTTATAAACTAAGGAACTCCAGGTGATGGCTTTTATTGGTAACTAAAACGCAACAAAAAAAGTTTTTATATACAGGGGGCGCTGCAGCCTTTTTTTCAAAAATAGAGACCATAAAGTTACTTAAGCAACATTGCTTAAAAAACTAATGACATTATTTATAATGTATCCGATAATATAGATATTCTTTTATTGTTTGACATATAAAAATTTATTTGCAATAATTAATGCCTGTTGTAGGGACGATTAAAATTATAACTAGTGCACGTACCCGCATGCGGGTATAACAATATGCACTAGTGCACGTACTATAGTAAGTGCACTAGTGCATATTGTTATATAAACGCCTTTTTTCGCTTTTATTGTTGTATGCGGACAAAAGGTAACAAAACCAAAGAAATTTTAATTACAAATGGTAACAAGTATTTCAGTGACTCTATAGTAATAGTAATATGACCATTTGTTTAAATATATTTTAGTATATTTCGAAAGGCAAAGCATTCTTTATTATCTTACTTTAAAATTAAACTAAAGTCAAGCCTATAGGCTGGAAATCAAGTTACCCCCAACAGTTGATAGTTACTGTCAAGCGGTAACCATAATAACATTTAAAATTTTGCCGTTATTACAAAAGTTGAAATTGGAGAGGGAAAATATCATGGTTTTAAAGGTACGCAAAGTTAATGAATTTTCTTTAAGTAAATCAAAATTCTAGGAATTGAATTTTCTTCTGGAGTAAACATGAAAGTTCCTTGGACATCATCGAGTCGACAAAAGGAAAATCTAAATAATTTAAAAGCAATTAAATATAGGTGCGACGAATTACTTTGCAGTAGGGTTTTTGAAAATGAAGATGATCTTCTAAACCACCTTAAATTTCAAAATCATAAATTTCTGAAATTAGACAAACTATAGGTGATGTTGCTAGAATGGAATTTTTAAAACAAAAACTGCAACTAGTTCAACAATATCTACCGTTAATATATGCCCAAATGAAGAAGATAAAAATACGTTTTTTCGAGTTTATGCAAAAGGGTTCGGAAGGCGCAAAATTAAAAAATCACGTTTTAATGAAAAACAAAAAGATTTTGTTGGCAACCTTTTTGAAGAAGGTGAAAAAACTAAAATTAAATATACGCTTGAATATATAGCAACAGCTTTACAAAATTATGAAGTAAATGGCAAATTTTATTTTTCTTCAAACGAGTATATGCATCCTAATCAGATACGCGGCTTATTATCAAGATTATCGTCAGATAGAAGGTTAAGTAAAATAGAAAAAGAAAATTAAAAAATTTGCCGGAAGAAATTGAAGAAATTAGCCCAGAAGCGGATGAACTTTTTTTGAAGTTTTATCAGTTTTAAAGTAGTTCCTTTGCGGCCTAAGTAACTTTTAAGTTATAAATAACCCTGGTTAAAATCTCTAGACTGATTCTGAGAATCGCTCTAGAGATTTGAACCAGCCGGTATGATATAAACCAGGGTTATTTATAACTAAAAAGTTAGCGAATATACCCCTTAGAGCCGAACAAGTTTAAAATTTAAGGTAAAGGTAATAATAATTATTAGGATATATTTTTATTATTTAATATATGCAAATCTTGCAGA